TGTTGGGTGGCTCATGCCTGTAATTCCAGCACTTTAGAAGGCTGAGGCAGGCAGATCACCTAAAGTCAGAAGATTGAGACCAGCCTGGCCAACATGGTAAAACCCTGTCTCTACTAAAAATGCAAAAATTACCCAGGTGTGTGGCTCACATCTGGAATCCCAGCTACATGGGAGGCTGAGGCAGGAGAATTGTTTGAACCTGGGAAGTGGAGGCTGCCGTGAGCCAAGAACATGTCACTGCTCTCCAGCCTGGGGAACAGAGTAAGACTCCGTCTCATTTTTGCTCTTACAAATAAATAATTAAATCAATATCCTTAATTTATATCACTGTTCATTTGGCTGATTATCTTAGGATAAATTCCTAGAAGTAAAACTTCTGGATTTAATAGTTACATAATTAAAATTTTGATATCAGTAAACTGTCCTCCAGAAAGATTAAATCAGTTTACACACTGTGATGATCTTTTTATTTACATTTTTATCATACTTGGTGCATTTGAATATTCTTTCATGTGTTTAGTACCATCGTATTTCTTTTATTTATTTATTTATTTATTTATTTACTTATTTACTTACTTACTTATTGAGACAGAGTCTTGTTCTGCCACCCAGGCTGGAGTGCAATGGTGCAGTCTAAGCTCATTGCAGCCTCCACCTCCCAGGTTCAAGCGAGTCTCCTGCCTCAGCCTCCTGAGTAGCTGGGATTACAGGCACCTGCCACTATGCCCATGTAATTTTTGTACTTTTGGTAAAGACGGGGTTTCATCATGTTGGCCAGGCTGGGTTTGAACTCCTGACCTCAAATGATCCACCCACCTCGGCCTCCCAAAATGCGGGGATTACAGGCATGAGCCACCATGCCTGGCCTACCATTGTATTCCGTAATAAATTAGTAGTTAATACTTTTTGCCCATTTCTCTGTTGAATAAATTTGTGTAAGTTTTTCTAAGCGTAATGACACTTTATCTCTTACATATGTTACACATACATTTTTCCCCCAGTGTATCAGTTACACTTCTTCATGGTCATTTGCTTGTTTTGGTTAATCATTTTCGCGTATTAAAGTTTTCAATTTATACGTAGCAATTCTATTCACTTCTTTCATCCTTCAGTATATGTAATGGTTGTCATATGGGAGAGGATTAGGCATTTATGAAGAAGACAGAATTAGCCCGATGGGAGAAAGTTGCAACATGGCAGATTTTTACTAAAATAACAAACAACTTTCTCCCAATTAAGACTGTGAGATTCGGAATGCGCTGTCTTGCCGGCAGTGAGATCTCCATAATTAGGGGATGTTAAGCATGAATTGCCTGACCACCTGACAGTGATCATGTGGGGTGAGGCCAGATGGCCTCTGGCATCCTTAATTATTTACGAGGCAGGTTTTTAATGGAATGCCAATAATGTAATTCAAATTGGTTTCCCCAGAGAGCTTTTTTCAGAACTGCAACACCATGCAACATTTGGGGTTTCCAAGAGGAAGTGGACCAAAGTTGATGTGGCTGATCAGGCAGCACTAAATGAAAAGAGCTCAGAACCACTGAAAACTCTAAGAAAGCATAACAGGAGATTGTTAGTGGTCATTTGCTTATCATTCATGAGTTTTTACTTTAATCACCATGCATCACCTTCCGGCCACAGAAGTTTCCACTAAACCGTACAGCCTCACAGGAGCCGACCTCTCATATCTGGGAATGCAGATGGATTTAGGCAAAACTGACTTCCTAACATAGGTCAATTGTGGGCGTGACCAAGTCTTTTGAGAGTAAGAGAACAAAGTGGTGCCAGGTATGAGTACAGAAGCAAACTAGTATGATGCTGGTATTGTAAAATGGGTAGACTGAGTTACATAAAGGAGAGGAAAGCTCTCACCAAATAAGTCTCAGGATAGGATGAGGCTCTGTGCCTCTTAATCCATCTGACTATATAGTCATTCTCTTTTTGACCTTGGGTTACTGCTGCTTGGGAGACAGAATTGGGGAAAATAGGATCAAACTTAGATCTGGAGGAATGCTCTTACTTTCTATGAATAGAAGGCAATTGAATGAATAATTACATAATTGAATGAATTATTACATACATTTAGTATGTAATGAAACACTACTATGTGCTTCATTGGGAATTCAGCAATGAACGGGAAAGACAGCAGCTCACAGCCTAGTGGGGAAGTCATCTTTAAACAATGACATCATAGGTTGTAAAAGGTACAAGGTGCTTGAGTTGCTCACAGCCGTGGCATTAAAACCTGTTCTGGATATCAGAAAAGGCCTGCTAGAAAGACTAAAATTAAAGCAGAGATTTGAAGAAGGAGAAAGAGGTACTGCCCATGAAAAGGGAGGACAGGAGGAGAGAATAGACGATGGGGCTGCATAAGTGTTTCAGGGGAAGAAAAACATGTGTAAGGGTCCAAAGCCAGAGAGAAATTTAGATTCACACTTCTCTGGAATGGTATTAGGCTATTTCTGATGCATGTGATGTAGTAGCAAGAACCAAAATTTAAAATGAGAGACCAGGAGTTTGGCTCCCCGCCTTGCTAGTTCCCGGGCATATGACCTTGGCAAGTAACATCATGTGTCTTCATCTGAAGCTTTTCATCTGTCAAATGGCAGTATTAGCACCTGCTCCACAGGTCGCTGTGAGAATGGGATTAGCTCATAGATATAAAATTTTGGCCAGTGTGGGACTAGGTTTTGAATATCCTAAGCCTTGTTGAAGCCATCAGTGACCAACATCTATTCTTTTCAGCTAGTCCAATTTTTTCTTGCTGTCTGTGAATATACATCAACTGGATCAGCTCAACAGAGTTTTACTCAGTTTCTACTTTGGGTCATTGTAGATTCAAGCACTGTGAGAATATGAAAGAAGTGTGACATGGGGATTGAAATGTGGTAGTTGGGAAGAGAAGGTTAGTCTAAAGAGGTGTTTGTCTCTTTGTTTTTTTTTTTTTTTTTGAGAGAGAGTCTTGCTCTGTTGCCCAGGCTGGAGTGCAGTGGTATGATCTTGGCTCACTGCAGCCTCTGCCTCCCAGGTTCAAGTGATTCTCTGGCCTCAGCCTCCTGAGTAGCTGAGATTACAGGTGCACACCACCACGCCTAGTGAATTTTTGAAGAAATGGGGTTTTGCCATGTTGGCCAGTCTGGTCTCAAACTCCTGACCTCACATGATTCCCCTGCCTCAGTCTCCCATATTGCTGGGATTACAGGCATGAGCCACCACACCCAGCCTGTTCCTTACTTTGCATATGTATCTCCAACTCCATTTGGTCTATGAGCTCCTGCAGGAAAGGATCTATAAAATAGGTTCTCTCTTTAATCCCAGTAAGATTTCCAAGTGTCTGATTTAGAGTAGGTGCTCAGCATATCCCAATAAAATAGAGACAATGAAAGTTTGGAAACTTAGAGCAGATTTTAAACAGTAGTAAACACATACATAAATTAGAGGGGTTATCCGAAGGAAAATCTGTAATCAGGGAAGTTTTATGGAGGTAAGGTTCACTTGACAAAGAACTTTCAAAGTGGTTGTACCTTTTTATTCTTCTACCAGCAATGTAAGAGAAATGAATATAGTCAGCCTTCTTAATTTTAGCAACTCTGACAGCAGAGGAGAGCGATTCCATCATGGTTTTTTTATTTTACATTTTCTTGCTAATGACTTTTTTTTTCTTTTTTGAGAAGGAGTTTTTCTCTTGTTGCTCAGGCAGGAGTGCAATGACATGATCTTGGCTCACCACAACCTCTACCTCCAGGGTTCAAGCAATTCTCCTGCCTCAGCCTCCCGAGTAGCTGGGATTATAGGCATGTGCCACCATACCTGGCTAATTTTGTATTCTTAGTAGAGATGGGATTTTTCCATGTTGGTCAGGCTGGTCTCAAACTCCCGACCTCATGTGATCCACCTGCCTTGGCCTTCCAAATTACTGGGATTACAGGCATGAGCCACTGGGCCCGGCTGGTGACTAATGATTTTGGGTATCATTACATATGATTGTTAGCCATTTGAATATCCTTTTTGTAAAGTGTCTGTTCAAGTCTTTTGCTCGCTTTCAAAAATTATATTGACTATTTTTATATATTATGAATGCAAGACTTTTGTTGGATTTATCGACTGTGAATCTCTTCTCCCAGTATGTGGCTTAACCATTTATCCTTCATGGTCTTTTTCTATGGAAGTTCTCAATTTTCACAAAAAACAATATGTCAGTTTTTTAAGTGTTAGTTTTTTTGTGTACTATTAAAGAAATCCGTACCTAATTAAAGATGATATATATATTTTGAGACGGAGTTTCACTCTTGTTACCCAGGCTGGAGTGGAATGGTGCTATCTTGGCTCACCGCAACCTCCGCCTCCTGGGTTCAGGCAATTCTTCTGCCTCAGCCTCCTGAGTAGCTGGGATTACAAGCACGCGCCACCATGCCCAGCTAATTTTTTGTATTTTTAGTAGAGACGGGGTTTCACCATGTTGACCAGGATAGTCTCTATCTCTTGACCTCGTGATCCACCCGCCTCGGCCTCCCAAAGTGCTGGGATTACAGGCTTGAGCCACCATGCCTGGCCGTGATAAAGATATATTCTTATTCTTATTTTTTTTTTAGTTTTATTTTAGGTTTAGGGGAACACGTGAGGGTTCGTTATGTAGGTAAACTCATGTCATGAGGGTTTTTTTTTTTTTTTAGATGGAGTTTCGCTGTTGTTACCCAAACTGGAGTGCAATGCCACGATCTCGGCTCACTGCTACCTCCGCCTCTTGGGTTCAAGCAATTCTCCTGCCTCAGCCTCCCTAGTAGCTGGGACTACAGGCGCGCGCTACCATGCCCAGCTAATTTTTGTATTTTTAGTAGAGACGGGGTTTCACCATGTTGACCAGGATGGTCTCGATCGTTTGACCTCGTGATCTACCCGCCTCGGCCTCCCAAAGTGCTGGGATTACAGGCGTGAGCCACTGCGCCCGGCTGAGTGTTTGTTTTATAGATTACTTCATCACCCAGGAATTAAGCCCCCAAAATATGGGACACTTCACAAATTCACATGTCTCTTTGTGAAGGGGCCTGCTAATCTCTGTATTTTTCCCATTTTAATATATGTGCAACTGAAGCAAGCACAAGAATTTTTTAATGAAATCTTTCCTAAATAAAAAAGAAATGCATGCATATGGTTAAAAAATCCAGCCTGAAGGATAATAAAATGACAACTAAATCTAATTGTCATGACCAAGTTCTTCTCCCCAAAGGCACCATTAACACTTTTTTATACATGCTTATAGATATTTTCTATGTATATATTTATAATATATCTATGAATATTCTTTACTCTTACTCTTTCACCAAATGCTACATATTAGTAAGGCCGTCCTGCGCATTGCTGTTTTTGTTCAACAGTATCTCAGCAATCTTTCTATGTCGACTCCTTTGAAAGACTACCTTACTTTTTTTATGGATTTGCAGATAATTGTTTTGTATAAAAGCTTTGTAATTTAAAGCTACTGACCCTTCCTAAAGGGATCAGCTAGATTGTGTTTAGTCTTTTCTTATCACAGACAGTGCTACAATAAACATCCTTGTGCATAGGACTTTGTGTGAGCAATGAAATGGCTTGTTCCAAGGGTATGCGTGTCTATAATTCTGCTAATTCTGGCCAAATTATCAAAAAGGTTATGTTGGCTTATATGTACTCTAGCAGGATATGAGGGTGCCTTTCCTTTCTCTCTGGAGTAACTGGGGTTATAGGCATGCACCACCATGCTCGGCTAATTTTGTAATTTTAGTAGAGACAGGGTTTCTCCATGTTGGCCAGGCTAGTCTTGAACTCCTGACTTCAGGTGATCCACCCACCTTGGCCTCCCAAAATGCTGAGATTACCACCTGGCAGGATTTAAATAAGAAGAGCAAACAAGAGAACACTTTTGATAGAAGGGACAGCATAAACAAAGGCTTCCGAGTGGAGTTTTCCAACCCACTATTGAGTGTTTTGGCTGAATAATTCTTTGTTGTAAGGACTGTCCTGGGCATTATAGGATGTTTAGTGGCATCCCTGGCCTCTACCTATTAATGCCAATAACAAGCTGCCTGCCCTCTCTGCCCCTTAGGGGTGACAACCTAAAATGTCTCCAGACACTGCCAAATGTAGGGGACAAAATTGCACTGGGTTGAGAATCGTGACTTAGAGGTTGGGATGTTCAGGGGTCAGGCTGTGTGTGTGTGTGTTTGTGTATACAAGTGCACAGTGAACACAGGGTAAAACTAGGAAGGCTAGTGTGAAGTTCACCCTAGAAAGCTTCAGAGTTAGTCTGAGGAGAGATGTATTTCTTCTCTTGCTTTTCTCTCCTTTCATAAAAACCCACATTATAGAAACTCATACCCTTTTTTTTTTTTTTTTGGTCAGGAAAGCCACACACTAACCCTTCAGCCTCTTCGATATTAGTGAGCAACCCAGGGCTGGTGCTTTAAGCACATACATGTTGTTCATGATCTAATACCATTTTAATCTCACAACAACACGTGGGGATCCTGATCAGCACATGGAGGGCTGGTCTACAGATGGGGAAATAGAGGCTCAGGGAGAGAAGCTGAAGCCATTGTCCTTTCCGGCCCTCAGGTGGCTGCACTCTCCACGGCTCTACTCTAAGAGGCTTGAGCAGCCGGCCTTGCTGCTGCCATTACTGAAAGCCCAGTATGGAGCCATTTGGATGATTTTAGTCATTCTTTCCATTATTTGCAAACCTCAGAATAGGCTTTAAGTCATCGTTCTTTCTCTCCTCACGATTTGGTTTATTTTTGGAAGTGAAATCAATGGATTGTCTTTTGCTTTCTTTCAGAAACCTCTTTGCTGTATTTCTCACCACACCCAGGAGTAGGCACGTGGTTAGATGCTCATGGAATGTATGACAGCCCCTCTCTGGCTCAGTTTCCTGATGGGCCAGATGATAGCCACGCTCCTGTACTGTGCAGGTCTCAGTGTGTTATTATTAAGTTCACTGCTTGGCAGAGATAACGTGTTAACTCATAGTAATAAATAACTATGAATATGTGACTTCAGCTTCTAATAAAGTATCTACTGCATAGTAGGGGCTCAGTAAATGCTGGTTGAATGATGAAGTATATAATCACATGGTTACCTGGGAGTAGTACCACCCAGGCAAGTGGAGCACCTGCCTGAGGTCCTGGGCCTCAGGGGTCTTGCATCTTATTTATTTACTTGTTTTTTTATTTTTATTTTTTATTTATTTTTTGAGACAGAATCTTGCTCTGTTGCCCAGGCTGGAGTGCAGTGGCATGATCTTGGCTCACTGCAACTTCCACTCCCGGGTTCAAAGGATTCTCATGCCTCAGCCTCCCATAGAGCTGGGATTACAGGTATGCGCTGCCATGCCTGGCTAATTTAGGTCTTTTCAGTGGATACAGGGTTTCATTATGTTGGCTAGGCTGGTCTTGAAGGGGTCTTGTACTTTAGAATGCTGCCCTTACATCTTCTAAGCCCTTCCAGTGGTCAGGACTGGCCAAGGCCAGTAGTGCCAACCAGACAGGATACTCTAGACCCAGCCTCCACCATGTCAGCCCCAGTCCCTGTTTTCTTTCCTTTGGCATGCTCTTCAATTCACTTCTTAGTACAGGGGGTCGACCAGATGCCCTAGGAGACCTCTAAGGCTTACATCTATGAGATTGTCTCAGGGACCCCCTACCAGGCCCAATTCCAAAAGGGCTACCGGGAGAAAGGATCTTTTCTTCCAGTCAGTGAGTATTTTGCAGTATCACATCAAGTTGGGTGGTCAGAATGGTGCTTAAACATTGATTTTAGGTGACTCAAATTGTTTATATATGCAGGGGCCCCACAAAAAAACATTTGCATAGGCCTCCACATGCCTTAGGGCTGACCACATCTAATAAATCATCATTCATTCATTCAGGCAGTCATTCAATGGAATTCATGCCTTCAACTGACCACCCAATTAACTAATGTAAGCCCCATCATAAGTGCTATGCTATTATTATTAGCAGAGTGAACACATGCATGGGACCCCAGGCAAAGAAGTAGAGAGCCCAGGCAGTGTGTGAGTTGGTTAGCAACATACAATAGGTTATTAACACAGAGGACCGAACATCGGAACTTAGGTCTTGAAGAATCGCCGGGATTTTTCCAGGAGGGATATGTCATGTTTAGGGAGGAGAAAATAATTCTATGGGTCTAAAGGTTACAGTGAGGGCTGGGAAGAGATGGAACAGGAGCTGGAAAGACAGATGTGGCCACAACAGGAAGGATCTGTTGTCAGGCTGAGATTTCTGCATATCTTTTCTGAAGATGTTGAAGAGCAATTAAATGCTTTTTAGCCAGGAGGGAAATGGTTAGATATCTAGATTAGAAGGTTCATCCCCATTGGCTGTGGGCGTGTGGATATTGGATTGGAGGAAAGCAAGACAGGAGTCAAGGTGACTCCTCTGGAAGGTCCAGCCATGTACAAGGCAACCAGAGCCCGGTGGAAGGTGGTAACCTCAAGAAGCGGGTGCTGGGAAGTCACAATCAGTTCCCAAACTCCACAAGACTCTGAGAAGCAGAGTCAGTATCTCCTCTCCCCAAGGTTGGCTTCTTTTGTAATCTAGCTGCCTGGTTGAGCACTTTCTCCTTCCTTTCCTTCCTAATCACTTTCCCCTTCTCTCCTGATCTGATGACAGGAGACCAGCTGTTGAAACAAGACTCTCTTCTGGATGGAGAGGAAGCTGAAATCAACAGCATCCTAGGCAGTCCATCCTCAGGAAGACCTTCCCAGAAAAGCCTGCAGAGTCTAGATGGAGGCAGAGATCATGTATTCAGTCTGCATGGAAAAGCTTCTAGATTTATCCCAAGGGGCTCTGCTGAGCAGCTCAGAGGCCTTCAGAGTGGCCTCAGACAGGTGGCCCCTGATTCTTCGAGAATGAAGTAGAGGGGCCCGCAGTTTCTGTTTCATGACATACACCCACTGTGCTGCTCCAAGAACCCCGCCCCGCACGATTCGTCGTCCCCCCGGGGTGTATGGATCCCCATCAGGACTGGTTGCATCTCTGGAAATGACCTCAGTCTTTGGAATATTTGTTCTTTTAGGCTTTTCAAACAATGTCCTCGTTTTGCCAGAGGAAAAGGGAAAGAGACTCTCTAAACGAGCAGGCCCTCTTTTGTTCTAGGCCCATAAATCTGGCCAAGCACATGTCCGGCCTTCCCGCCCCCCACTGCATCATTGTCCTGCTGCTGATTAATAGGTCAGAGCTAACTTTAAACTGGCATTTCCTGACCAGCCCATCTCCCTGCCTTCGACCCTGCCTGGCTGTTCTTTAAAAGTCTGCTGTATTTTAGAACATGGTGTCACTCTGTCCCGCTGCCTCTGCCTCACACTGTGTTCCAAGGTGACTGCATGAAGTTTGGTCAAGCCGTCTGTGTTGTTCTGCTGTTTATAAGTTGGCAGAGTAAGGGCTGAGGTGGAGGGGTGGGCACACAGCTGGGTGGGGGTCTGTTGCTCAGGGTGTTTGAGCCACTGCTGCCCCATCTAGTCTTGGAAGCACACACCTCAGAAGGGCTGCGTGGAGAGAGGGTATGACAATAAGTACAACAAGGTGTTTTATTTTGCCTCTGTTTGTGACTGAGTGGTGTCTCAACCATGCAAAATAATGTAGAAGAGTGGGGTCCAACATGCGGATGTTCTTGATGTTGGCTGAGTAAGGCAGTATATAAAAGGTGAATATCTGTTATCTAGCCAGATAGTTTTTTTTTTTTGAGATGGAGTCTTGCTCTGTCACCCAAGCTGGAGTGCAGTTGCACGATCTTGGCTCACTGCCACCTCCACCTCCTGGGTTCAAGTGATTCTCCTTCCTCAGCCTCCTGAGTAGCTGGGATTAGGGGTATGCACCACCATGCCTGGCTAATATTTTTGTGTTTTTGGTAGAGACAGAGTTTCACCATGTTGGCCAGGCTGATCTTGAATGCCTAACCTCGTGATGTCCTTGATGTTGACTGAGTGAGGGAAGATACAAAAGAGTATTTATAGCATAGTCCTATGTGAGTGCAGTCAGCCCTCTGTATCTGTGGGTTCTGCTCTGCATTCATGGATTCAGCCAATCACAGATCAAAAATATTTTAA